GTTACAAGATGATCGGCTTTTAAACCATCAGGTCAGGTCGCTGATTGGTGGTTATTTCAATATCTTCCCATAACTGTTTCAATTGTTTCAATTGTTCTTCGATACGAGTTGGATTATGGATATAGTGCAGTAGCCAACTCGAACCTTTTGTCAACAAAGCGTTATCCCAAAGCTCTTGAACGGCTTTTGAAATGTTTATTAGCATCTACGACTTCGTCAATGATTTTTTCTGCTTTTCGATGTAGCATATCAAAAGAAATTTTCAAACTTTGTTTTCCAAAATTATTCCCTAAATTTTCGTCATATGATATGTCTTGAACAACTAACCAAACAAAGTAGTCGCAAAGACTATCTTGTTGATCACATACGGTTAATAAAAGAGTTTGAAAATGAGATTGTTGTTCATCATAATAAACTTTTGTTAGCAGAACGATAACATAAGTATGAAATAAAGATTTAAACTGCTTTGACAAAGATAAACTGAACCATTTCAATTCCAAATTAACATCTTTGATTAGACCATTGACAATAGTAACAGCCTTTTGTATGCGGTCGATTTCTATCGGTTGAGAATCAAGGTCGTTAGGACTGCGTATAACAAGAGCTGTGATTTTATCAAAGAGTATACGAAAAAAATCTGATACAAGTAACAGGTCATATTCCCATAATCATTTTGTACACAAACATGTTCATCTTGGGAACATGCGAGAACAGAGGGTGTTTCGTTCAGACAATTAATTTCGTCTACAGAACTTGGACAGTTACATATTCTGTCACAATTTGTGTACGTTGTATGACACGACCAATAGTCACAATCTGTTTCGTCTGTCATTCCATTGTTATCTTAAATTATATCAATCAATCGATCGCAGAGTCTTCCGAACAAATTGTTCGATGTAATTTTCAAATCACCATCACGTAACCACTGGCATCCTTCTTGGTCATTAGAACTGTACCAGATCATCGCCTGCTCATCAGACCCGTCTACACATTCGTTTTCGCCATTTCGAACAAATATTCTAGGTACACATTGATTAGTTATTGTTTTGCACTGAAAACGACTCGACAGACTCATGTTGCATATATTCAAACCATCTATATTTACGTTTTCATCAATTCCATTGTAACAATCAACATATCCGTCTAGTAAACGTTCTTTCGATGTACATGTAAAATTATTTGCTGTTGAACAAGAAAATAGTTCCGTCGCATCACAATCAGTATGTAACAATGACGAACAGATTGAGAATAAATTTTGCATATCATTGAACATGCCACCCCAATCAATACCAACAGGCTCTTTAGACATATTAAAATAGTGATATTTGTTACAAGATAAACCATTTATATATATATCTGGTTGGAATTTACCCTTACAAACAATCTCATCATAACAAATATAATCCGGGATCATATTTAGAAAAGTTGTGTTTGTTATATTATAAAGGAATTGTACTGACGGATATGCAAAGAAATTATATGTTGGAGTTTTCACCAGACGAGAATAACATTTGATTAGATATGCGTCTTCGTTAATAATTAACTCATCACATACAGTATCACGAATCCTGGAAAAAAAGTGAAACTTGCACATAGTGTATAACAAACAGTCGTCGTTATTGACCAGAGATAAACTATTTAAGTTGAACATATCGATCAAATAATCTTTATCGCGTAAACTATGACATTTTACTTCGAAGTTATTAAGAGAATACGACTAATGAAAATAATTTCGTAAACATTGTCCATCATTGCATGAAAATTGTGCATGACCACAAAAATGTTCCCCGCATTCAATGGTCGATGAAAACATACGTACAGAATAACGGCGTGTTACAACTTTCGTATCAACTTCATCACTGTCATCCATACAATCGGGATAAATATCAAATCCAAAACTTTTCGATATGCACGTGCCCATACGACAACGGTATTCGAGTTCATTATCACAGTGATTTCGTTCTAATTCGAAACACATGCTACTTTCATCAATCGCATGCCAACAATCAATTTTACCATCGCACACCTCTCTCCAATCTAAGCATTCCACTTTTATTTTATTTATCATATCTGGACATTGTTGATAGCACGTTGCATTTATTGTTCTGCGTATCCCAGTCCACTTTCTTGCTTGATTCACGGCGCGCACGCCGAGCACGTTCTGCGATCGCTAAGCGGTCGCTATTGTCGCGGATCGTTCGCGACCAACTATTATTTTACAAGATTTGTAATTCGCGATCGCGCCGCGACAATAGCGACTTCTTAGCGATCGTGGTGCGACTTCGCGATCCGAGCGTGTTCACTGTAGGAAAAAGTTGTTACGTCCCGATCGTATTTTTCTTTTACAATCGCGATATGATACAGCATCGCGGCGCGTCTCTCGTGCAAATCCTATTCACCGTTTTCTTTTGCTTACGTGTCTGGTATATAACTCTTACTGATTTTTCGAAAAATGCTCAAAATCACATCTTAATAACAGGTTACGTTATGACTAATATAGTCTTACGTAGTCGCGTCGCGCGTACGCTATTCGTCTGAGTTCGCGGTAAAAGTAGCGTGGATTATTTACTAATAGTAGAGGGAATACGCGAATACATAGTAACTATAGGAAAATAGTTGAGAGTCATTGATCTTTGTATAAGCGCGAAAAATTGCTGAAAATTGCGTCTTATTTCGCGAGTCTTGCAGTGAACACGTTACCCCATGTCCTGCAGAAAGTTTATATCTGCACAAGATCTGTCAAGTTTCTTGATCTCAAAGAATGTTCAGCAATTCTTATCAAGATCTTGTCAAGTTTTTTGAGGAATCTGCCTGCAAAAAGCTTGATCGAGATCTTGACAAGATTTGAAAACTTTTCTGTAATTAACAAAATCTTTGCAAACAAAGAAAGTTAGCAACCATTTTGATTATGACATGCCTCAGAGGTTCAGCAAAAATGTAAATATGCCAACTTTGCATTTATTTATAGTTACTGTAGTGCTACAGTACTTCTATTAAAATTCTGTTTGTCGATAGGGTAGACAAATAAATGTGTTATTCTTTCAATCACCATTCTGTTTGAGATTGTTCTTGCATATATAAGAATAAATACTTGCACTACAGAACATTGAAAATTTTGAAAGTGAAATTCAAACATTATGTTTGAATGTATGGTTGCTCATACACTTTCAACAGCTCTGGTATTGTATGCATAGTACCCTAGAGCTTGCACTGTAGTGATACAGTAGAAAAAATAAAAATATAAAGTAGAAAATAAAGTTTAAAATTTTATTTCAAATTCTTAAATCTGTTAATGAAGATCCTGATTATTGCGTATTAAATTAATCATTTCAGAATTCTTGAAATATCTTGACAAGATATGCTCAAGATTTATCACGACAGATTCTGATACAAAAGTTGTGGAAAATCTGCAGTATTGCCTTCCATTCAGAATCTTGACAGATTTCGATAAATCTGCACAAGTTCTTGAAAGATCTGGGGCGAAACTTGAGAAATCTTTAAAGACTTATCAAGATCTGCATTCAAGATTTTTCTGCTGGGTACGCGATCCCGCCGCGAATTTTTAAAGAGACTCACGTCTCGACATGCGATAAGAAAGTGGAGTTGGGTACACTGAACGTTCAAAGTCATTAAATTAAGAAGATTTTGAATGTATAGCCAAGAACGCCTTTATTAGAAAAAATTACCTAAAAGCCGATGATGTTTTTCGTCTCGACTAAAAGCTTAATCGGATATTGGAATAAAGAGTATAATAGTACTAAGGAAAACATTTTAGATTAATACTAAACCACTTGAACTATTAAAATTTCGAGCTTTTTTCTAAGTCTCACCATTGTCCGGTGATAATACCATGTAAATATTGTCATAAACATTATTATGGTAAAAGAGGAAGTGAAAATCTATCCGTATAAGTGAACATTAAACAGATATTCGTAACTGTAAAGAACACTGAGTTTAGAAAAGTGTTGTTGACAAAACGAAGATCAAAGTGCAGTTAATTCGTGAGAAGTAATCTAGTGAAAAGTGGCACTTATAAGGTAAACACAAGTGTTATTCCGACTACTATCTCATATTGACTCATAGGTATTTCGCTCGAATTAGTTAGTTGCAACAGGCACTACTAGCTTATTTTTTCATGCTTGGGATGTAAATCTAATCGAACGTTTTAAGTGTATTCATAATGTTCTGATCCAGGTGTCACACACCTATAGTTGAATACTGTGCTGACTGAAACCAAAGACGTTTATCACAGTTAATTAAGTTTAATTTCCAATAACTTGACTAGATTTGAAATGTGAATAGCTTTTACTGCTTCGATATCAAAAACGTTGACAGGTTACAAACAAAAATAAAATAAAATTTTTTTAACTGACGTTGCCGTTATCAAGTGTCCAAATCATTTTGAAAATGCACTGGCTTTCACTTGTAATAGTCTTCTAGTTGTTTCCGTCTAGTACGAAAAAGCCGAGCTTAGTTCGGTATCTTCTGCTAAAGTACACAATTGTTCCATTTGCTCTTTGTTATAAATTGGCACTGGTGTCATACGAAATTCCATTGTATCATCAGATTTAATTTTTTGTGTTTTTGCATCTTTTTCCAGTCCAATATTTTTGACTGAATTAAAATAACCACTATCATCAGTACCATCACATGGCTGAACATGAAGACGTGAAATCATTTTTAATGATATTGGTTGTACAATTGGTTTTAGTATCAGCAGTGGAAGAGAAATCGTCAAACCGAAGTTATGTTCGCCCCACGAGAATTTTGCTACGAAACTAGCACAACTTACTTATAAGTGGAGAAAAAACTGCATATGTCAATTTTGCCTTTTCGATCAGTCCAGCACGAAAATTATGCTCCTTTGTGTGAGAATCATGCTCAATCAAGAAAACATCAGAATTTTGTATGCTTTCATACAAACTTTATTGTTTACGTCAGGAGAATAATGCTTTTACACGAGAATTATGCGGTTCAAGATTCAACATAGTTGGATATGTTTTCAATTATTGTTGAGGTTGCAAGGTTCAGACAAACCTGAGCCTATTGCCGAGTCATGATAAATAGCGACCTTGCATATGCCTTGCATTCTGATTTCTAGAAGAAGCTTGACTGTATAGCTGTGTTAAGAAAATGGCAAGTTTTATAGGAAAACTTTGTCCAGCAACCTGATCTTTCAAAGACTTATCCAGCACACAAACTGAAAAACGACTTTGAGAAGCTGTTTGACATAGAAAAGATGCAATCGCGTCTTGGTTAACAAACATCAAAAATTGCAGATCTCTATCGCTTTTCCGTCAAAAACTATACAAGAAATGGTCATGGGTTCATTCTATTTTGAAATAGATAGTAGGCCGAAAATAAGCATTTTAAGGAAAAAAGAAAACTAATGTCCGACTGGAAAGCCAAAATTGTCTACTGTAATATGGTGCTAAAGTTTATCTGAAATTTCTGAAATCTGATCTGCACCTAAAAGTCTCGAATAGGACTGCAAAAGTTTCCGTTACTTCTTCGGCCGTTATCGACAACGGTAGCTAGAAAAAACAGTTGCCGCTAAAGTAACGATAACTGTCTTTTCAGTTAGCGTTAAAACAACGGTGACTGAAAAGACAGTTATCATTACTTTAACGATAACTGCGTTGCCAGTTACCTTTGAAACAACGGTAACTATCAGTTAGTTAACTGTGGTAACTATTCTTTAAGTATGGCAGAAATATCCACGCAGCCGCTTAAAATAAAAGAAAATTAAAAGAATTAAAGGCAATTAAAGAAAAGATAAAGTATTCGTATTAGATGTATGATTTGTACACAAAATAAAAGGACTGAGTTTTATCCACTTAAAAAGCAAATATGCATGTTCTGTTGTGTCATACATAACAAAAAGAAAAGTGAGAAGCAACACAACCAAAAAATAGGTATGTTGAATCCAAAATGCAGATAGAGTGCTGGGTGACTCTTTTGAAAGCGTATTAACTCGTATGTTAACGCAACAAATTTTTACAAGTTTATTCATAAACTTATACAAAGCTCAAACTGTTAATTTTAATAATAATAATAATATCTCAGTAAATTTATGTACATCATAAGTTTTTAATTCAACCAGTTTAAATTAATAATAATAATAAAAAGAAAAGTATGAAAAGTATGAATTGGCCTTGACAAGTTCATGCAGAACTATTACGCCAAAGTATCATAAACCTTATAAAGATACATTCGAATTAGAGCTGCAACTTTCTGTCTACTTTATTTGTATAGTGAAGAAAAGCATTTTTACATGGAACAAAGTAAATTAATCTGCTACAGTAAAGTATGCTTTAATTAGACAGTAAATAATTTTAAAATTTGGAAACTTTTGAATTTTCACATCTTATTTTGTATAATTCGGTTTCTTTGATTGTATTGTTGATACATATATCGGCATATATATACTTCCAATGTGTTCGTTTTTTTAGCATACATCTTTATAAGAGCAGACATTTTTCTGTTTAAAGAATAAAATCAGAAAGTAACAAATTTTATATTTTCCTCAAATATTCATCTTTTTTATATTCAAGGAGGCGAGTGCTCACTGTAAACTTATTTCGTATTGCACCAACTTCGCGAACTAACATTACACTAATTAGAATAGACCCATATCCATCTTTTATACTAGTTTAAAGTGCACGAGTTATACACTATGCCGGTCTATTTTTTAGAAAAGGATCCCTCTTAGTCTTTGAGAAATATGACTGTGAATATGGTTAATTATTATTTAAAAAAGCAAGTTTCGAGACAAGCAAAACAAGTCTCTGGAAGTCGCGCACGGAAAAACTAGTGTATAACTCGTGCACTTTAAACTAGTATAAAAGATGGATATGGGTCTATTCTAATTAGTGTAATGTTAGTTCGCGAAGTTGGTGCAATACGAAAT